CCCCCGTCTTTCTCTCCAGGTGGTGCGCGCTCACCTTGCTTCACTAACGTTTCCCCCCCGTCATTCTCTCCAGGTGGTGCGCGCTCACCTTGCTCCACTAACGTTCCCCTTCCCCCCGTCATTCTCTCCAGGTGGTGCGCGCTTACCTTACTCCACTCTGCTTCCCCCAGCTGTCTCTCAGTGTTAGAGCTTTAAAATAAAAACCATTCGCCAAACTGGGCGAGTGAGTCAATAAGTTAACTCGCCCAAACGGAATCTGTACTCGCCCAAATTTTAAAACAAAAATGCTTGTCAAACAATAGTGAAAAAACACAAAAACACCATTGATTTAACTACACATGTAATTCATTGATCACTTTTCTCAAAAATTCAAGGCACATCTCCTCTGAAAGTTCCTGTTTTCATTTTCATTTAATTTACTTTTATTCTTGGGCTGCTTTGCCCCATCAATGGAACGCCACGTTACGCCGATTTTATTGACTTGTTAACACCAAGGCCAACGTGACTTTTAAACAATCCTGCACTCCTCCCCCCCTCCCCGTACTTCAATCAATATGCCGCCCCAAGCACGTATACACAGCCACGCTGTGCTGGCGCTGCACGCTCTCGCGGGCTGCTTTCTTCGGCGACCTTTGATAATATAAAGTGAGGATGTCGTGGGATAGCCGCCCTTCACAATCGCTACAACTGTATTTCATCAATGTTTGGATATATAACGTAATGAATCAACATTTGATTAAAGTTCTAGACAATTATATTTACTTGCCAACATGGGCGAGTCAGCTTTAGCTTTCACTCGCTCGATATTATTTTCACTCGACATTGGCGAGCGGGCGAGTGCCAAGCTCGCACGCTGGTCTCTCCAGTTGCTCTACTAACGTTTTCCCTCGTCATTCTCTCCAGGTGGTGCGCGCTTACCTTACTCCACTCTGCTTCCCCCAGCTGTCTCTCCAGTTGCTCTACTAACGTTTTCCCCCCATCTTTCTCACCAGGTGGTGCTGACGGGCGAGTACAAGAAGGACGAGCTGCTGGAGGCGGCGCGCAGCGGCGACGACGAAAAGATGACGGCTCTGCTCACGCCGCTCAACGTCAACTGCCACGCGAGCGACGGCCGCAAGTCGACGCCGCTGCACCTCGCCTCCGGCTACAACCGCACGAAGATCGTGCAGCTGCTGCTTGATCGCGGCTCCGACGTGCACGCCAAGGACAAGGGCGGGCTCGTGCCGCTGCACAACGCGTGCTCGTACGGACACTTCGAGGTCACCGAGCTGCTCGTCAAGCACGGCGCGAGCGTCAACGAGATGGACCTGTGGCAGTTCACGCCGCTGCACGAGGCCGCGTCGAAGAACCGCGTCGAAGTCTGCTCGCTCATACTCAGCTACGGTGGCGACCCCTACCTCGCGAACTGCCACGGCAAGACGGCGATGGACGTCGCCGCGACGAAGGAGCTGCAAGAGCAGATGGCGTACGAGTTCCGCGGGCACTCGCTGCTCGAGGGCTGCCGGCAGGTGGGTAGAGTGGTGGTGGGTGGGTAGAGTGGTAGAGGGTGGGTGAGTAGGGGTGGCAGGTGGGGTAGGTGTGGTGGGTGGCGTGAGTAAGGGGTGGCAGGTGGGTGTGAGGTTGCGTAAGTGGGTGGTGTGAGTAAGCGGGGGCAGGTGGTAGGTGGTGATGGGTGGCGTGAGTAGGGGTGGCAGTGCGCTGGGCTAGAGTGGTGGTGGGTGGGTGAAGTAGGGGTTGGCGGTGGATTCTGTAGAGTGGTAAGTGGGTGGTGAGTAGGGATGGCAGGTGGGTAGAGTGGTGAGGTGTGGGTGCAGTAGGGTGGCAGGGGGGTAGAGTGGTGAGGGTGGAGATGAGTAAGGGTGGCAGTGGGTGAGTGGTAGGGGTGGTGAGTAAGGGTGAGGTGGTAGAGTGGTGGTGGGTGGGTGAGTAGGGAGGTGGCAGGTGGGAGAGTGGTGGTGGGGTGGTGAGTAGGGGTGGCAGGTGAGTCGGTGTTTAGTGGGCTGGGTAGTAGGGATGGGCAGGTGGGTAGAGTGGTAGAGGGTGGTGAGTAAGGGTGGCAGTGGTAGGTAGGTGGTGGGGTGGACGGCTGAAACTGAGTAGGGGTGGACAGGTGGAGGATAGAGTTGGTAGAGGGTGGGTGAGAAGGGTGAGCAGCTGTGAGGATAGAGTGTAGTGGGTGGGTAGTAGGGATGGCAGGTGAGAATAAGGTGGTAAGAGGGTGGCGTAGTAAGCGGTGGCGTGTGGGGTAGAGTGGTAGTGGGTGGGTGAGTTAGGGGGTGGCAGGCTGGGGGTATAGAGCTGGTAGAGTATGGAGTGAGTAAGCGGTGGCGGTGAAAACCGGTAGAGTGGTGGTGGGTGGGCTGAGTAGGATGGCAGGTGGGTAGAGTGGTAGAGGGTGGCCGTGGAGTGGGTGGCAGGGTGGCCGTAGCAGTGGTTGTGGCTGGGTGAGTAGGGGTGGCAGAAGTGGTAAGTGTAGGGCGTGGCGTGAGTAAGGGTTGGCAGGTGGGTAGAGTGGTTAGTGGGGTGCGTGGTAGCGGATGGCAGGTGGGTTAGAGTGTGTGGGTGGTGGTAAGGGTGGCAGGTGGGTTAGAGTGGTAGTGGTCTCTTGTGCCTGTCACTTGTCGCGCTGTGCTCTTGTCGCACTTGAGGTGGCCGGTGGCGCTGGCTCACTTTGGAGCGCATCCGTGCATGCGTGGGTGGTGAGTTAGCGGGCCTGGCAGGTGCGGTAGAGTGGTAGAGGCGTGGCGCTGAGTGAAGGGTGGCAGGTGGGTGAGGTGGTTTAGGGTGTGGGGATAAGGGTGGCAGGTGGGTAGAGTGGTAGTGGGTGGCAGTGAGTAGGGATGGCAGTGTGACGGTGGTGAGTTTATGTGGGTGTGGTGAGTAGGGGTGGCAGTGTGGTTAGAAGTGGGCCTAGTGGGTGGATGAGTAGCGGATGGCAGGTGGTAGAGTGCGTACGAGGTTGCGGTGAGTAGGGGTGGGCAGGTGGAATGGTAGAGGCGTGGTGGAGTAAGGGTGGCAGGTGGCTAGGTGGTACGGGGTGGAGTGAGTAAGGGTGGCAGTGTGGTAGAGTGGTATGGTGGGTGAAGTAGGATGGCAGGTGGGCTAGAAGTGGTTGCTTGTGGGTGGGCTGAGCTAGGATGGCAGGTGCGGGTAGAGTGGTAGAGGGTGCTGAGTAAGGGTGCAGCTGGGTAGATGGTATGTGGGTGGGTGAGTAGCCGGATGGCAGGTGGGGAGAGTGCGGTAGACGGGTGGGTAGTTAAGGCGTGGCAGGTGGATAGAGGGTAGTGGTGCGGGTGGGTGAGTAGGGATGGGCAGTGTGGGGTAGAGGTGGGGGTGGGTGGGTGATTAGGGATGGCAGGTGAGTAGAGTGTAGTGGGTGGCGGTGAGTAAGGGTGGCAGGTGGGTAGAGTGGTAGTGGGTGGGTGAGTAGGGTTGGCAGGTTGGGTGGCTAGAGTGGTAGTGGGGTGGTGAGTAAGTAAGGGTGCAGGTGGTAGAGTGGTTGAGGGTGGGTGATAAGGTGGCAGGGCGTGGGTGAAAGTGTAGAGGGTGGCTCGAGTGAGTAAGCTTGGCAGGTGGGTAGAGTGTAGAGTTGGGTGAGTAAGGTGGGCAGGTGGTAGAGTGGGTAGTGGCGTGACCGTAGTAGGGTAAGGAGTGGCAGGTGGGTAGAGAGTGGTGGTGGGTGGGTGAGTTAGGGGGTGGAGGTGGGTTAAGAGTGGTAGAGGGGGGTGGTAGGGTGGCAGGTGGTAGATGGTAGTGGTTGTGTGATAAGGGTGGCAAGGTGGGTAGAGTGGTAGTGGCGTGGAGGTGAGTGGGTGGCAGGTGGGTGAGTCTGTACGTGGTGTGCGTGAGGTAGGCGGTGCAGGTGGGTAGAGGTAGAGGTGGGTGAGTAAGGGTTGGCAGTGGGGGATAGAGTGGTAGAGAGTGGGTGAGTAAGCGGTGGGCAGGTGGGTAGCAGTGGTATGAGGGTGGGTGAAGTAAGGTGGCAGGTGGGTAGAGTGTAGAGGAGTGGTGAGTAAGGGTGGCAGGGGTGATGGTAGTGGGTGGCGTGAGTAGGATGGCAGGTGTGTAGAGTGTAGGTGGGTGGGTAATAGGTGGCAGTTGGGTAGAGTGTAGTTGGGTGGTGAGTAGGGGATGTGCAGTGGGTTAGAGTGGTGAGGCGTGGTGAGTAAGGGTGGCAGTGTGTAGATGGCTAGTGGGTGGTCGTGAGTAAGGGTGGCAGAGTGGGTAGAGTGGTGCTGGGCGTGAGTGGATGGCAGGTGGGGTAGAGTGGTGGATGGTGGGGGAGTAGGGTGGCAGGTGGGTAGAGTGGTAGAGGGTGGGGTGAGATAGGGTGGCAGGTGGGTGTGGTGCGTGGTGGGTGAGTAGGGCGTGGCAGGTGGTAGAGTTGGTAGAGGTGGTGAGTAAGGTGCAGGTGAGTGAGTGGTAGAGGGGTGGGTGAGTAAGGGTGGCAGTGTGGGTAGAGTGGTAGAGGTGGCGTAGTAAGGGTGGGCCGTGGGGTAGAGTTGTAGTGGGTGGGTGAGTTAGGGATGGCAGCGTGGGTTAGAGTGGGTGCGTGGCGTGGTGTGAGTTAGGGTGTAGTGTGGGTAGAGTGGTAGGAGCGGTGCGGTGAGTAAGGGTGGGCAGCGTCGGTAGAGTGGTAAGTGGGTGGTGAGTAGGGGTGCAGTCGTGGGGTAGAGTGGTAGTGGGTGGGTGAGTAGGGGTGGCAGGTGGGTAGAGTTGGTAGAGGGTAGTGAGTAAGGGTGGCAGGCGGTTAGGTGTAGTGGTGGCTGGTAGGGTGGCAGGTGGGTTGAGTGGTGGTGTTGGGTGAGTTAGGGGTGGCAGTGTAAGTCGGTAGGAGGGTGGTGAGTAAGGTGGCAGGTGGGTAAGTCGGTATGAGGGTGGGTGAGTAAGGGTGGCAGGTGGGTAGAGTGGTAGTGGGTGGGTGAGTAAGGGTGGCAGGTGGGTAGAGTGGTAGTGGTGGTGAGAATAGGGATGGCAGGTGGGTTAGAGTGGTGGTGCGTGGCGTGAGTAGGGGTGGCATGGTGGTGAGCTGGTAGAGGGTGGTGTTGCGAGTAAGGGGTTGGCCGTGGGTAGAAGTGGTAGAGGGTGCGGTGGTAGGGCATGGCAGTTGGTGAGTCCGCGGTGGTGGTGGTGAGTGGGGTCGGCAGGTGGGTAGAGTGGGTAGTGGCGTGGGTAGTAGGGCTGGCCAGTGGGTAGAGTGGTAGTGGGTGGTGCAGTTAAGGGTGGCAGGTGGTTAGGTGGTAGAGGGGTGGGGAGTAAGGGTGGCAGGTGAGTAGCAGTGGTGTGTGGGTGGCATGGTGAGTAGGAGTGGCAGTGTGGCTAGGAGTGGTAGTGGGGTGGGTGGAGTAGGGCTGGCAGGTGGGTGAGTGGTGTGGGTGGGTGAGTTGGGGTTGGCAGCTGTGGGTAGAGTGGTAGTGAGTGAGTTGAGTAGGGGTGGCAGGTGGGTAGAGTTGGTAGAGGTTGGGTGTGTAAGGTGGCAGGTGAGGTAGAGTGGTAGAGGTGTGCGTGAGTAAGCGGTGGCAGGGGTAGGTGCGATAGAGGTGTGGGTGATAAGGTGGCAGGTGGGATAGAGTGGTAAGTGGGTGGGTGAGTAGGGATGGCAGGTGGGATAGAGTGGTGCGTGGGGGTGAGGAGGGGCTGGCAGGTGCGTGAGTGTAGAGGGTGGTGGAGTAAGGGTGGCAGTGGGGTAGAGTGGTGAGGCTGGGTGAGTAGGGGGCAGGTGGTAGGAGTGGTGGTGGGTGGGTGAGTAGGGGTGGCAGGTGGTAGAGTTCGGTGGTGGGTGGGTGAGTAGGGTGGCAGCGTGTAAGAGTGGTAGTGGTGGGTGAGTAGGGCATGGCAGGTGGTAGAGTGGTAGAGGTGTGCGTGAAGTAGGGGTGGCCAGGTGGTAGAGTGCGGTAGTGGGTGGGTGAGTAGGGATGGCAGGTGGGTAGAGTTAGGTAGTGGGTCGGGTGGAGTTAAGGTGCAGCGTGGGCTAGAGGGGTAGAAGAGGTGGTAGTGAGCTTAAGCGGTGCAGGTGGCGTAGAGTTCGGTGGTGGGTGGTCGTGAGTAGGGGGGCAGGTGGGTAGAGTGGATAGGCGGGCGGGGCGCGGAAAAAGGGTGGGTGAGTAAGGTGCAGGTGGTAGAGTGGTGGTGGGTAGTGTGAGTAAGGGTGGCAGTGGGTAGAGTTGGTAGTGGGTGGCGTGAGTAAGGGTGCAGGTGGGTTAGAGTGTACAGGGTGGGTGAATAGGGTGGCAGGTGAGGTAGAGTGGTATGGCGTGCGGGTTGGTAGGGATGCAGGTGGATAGAGTGGTGGTGGGTTGTGAGTAAGGAGTGGCGCGGGGTAGAGTGGAGATGGGTGGTGAAGTAGGGATGGAGGTGGATAGAGTGGTGGTGGGTGGTGAGGTAGGGGTGGCAGCGGTGGGTAGAGTGGTTGGTGGGTGGCAGTGAGTTAGGGATTGGCAGGTGGGTAGAGTGGTTAGTGGTGGGTGAGTAGAGGGTGCAGGTGTAGTAGTGGTGCTGGTGGTAGTAGGATGAGCACGGTGGTTTAGAGTGGGTAGTGGGTGGGTGAGTAGGGATGGGCACGTGTGGGTAGAGTGAGTAGTGGGTGGCGTGACAGTAAACGGGTGGCAGGTGGTTAGAGTGGTAGAGGGTGGGTGAGTAAGGGTGGCGGAGTTGGTAGAGTTGGTGGTGGGTGGGTGAGTAGGAGTGGCAGGTGGGTAGGAGCGGCTGCCTCGGTGTGTGGGTGGGTGAGTAAGGGTGGCATGTGGGTAGAGTGGTAGGCGTGGGTGAGTACGGGATGGCAGGTGGGTAGATCGGTTAGAGGGTGGGTAGTTAGGGATGGCAGTGCGTAGCAGTGGTTGGTGGGTGGGTGAGTGGGGTGCAGGTGGGGTAGAGTGTGGTGGGTGGGTGAGTAGGGTGGCAGGTGGGTAGAGTGCGTGGGGGGTGGTGCCAGTAGGTGGCAGGGTGATAGAGTGTATGGGTGGCGTGGTAGGGGCAGGTGGCTGAGTGGTAGTGGGTGGTGAGTAAGGGTGGCAGGTTGGTAGAGTGAAGAGGGGCGTGGGTGAGTAAGGGTGGCAGGTGGGGTAGTGGTGGTGGGTGTGTGAGTAGGGTGGCAGGGGCTAGAGTCGGGAGTGGGTGAGTGAGTAGGGTGGAGGTGGGTAGGTGGTAGTGGGTGGTGAGTAGGGATAGGCAGGTGGGTTAGAGTGGTGTGGGTGGAGTGAGTAGGAGTGCAGTGGGTAGCAGTGGTAAGTGGTGGGGTGGATAGGGATGGCAGTGGGTTAGAGTGTAGGTGGCGTGGGTGAAGTAGGGGTGGCAGGTGGGTACTGAGTGTAGTGGTTGGGTGAGTAGGAGTGGCAGTGTGAGTGGTAGTGGTTGGGTGAGTAGGGATGGCAGCGTGGGTAGAGTGGTGGTGGGTGGGTTGTGAGTAGGGTGGCGGGTGGGTATGAGTGGTAGTGGGTGGTCGTGATTAGGGATGGCATGGTGGGTAGAGTGGTAGTGGGTGGGTGAGTAGGATGGCATATGTGGGTAGGTGTGGTGGGTGGGTGAGTAGGGTGGCAGGTTGGTAGATGGTAGTGTGGCCCCGTGATAGGATGGCAAGTGGGATAGATGGTGGTGGCGTGGGTGAGTAAGGTGCAGGTGGGTAGAGTGGTAGTGTCGTGGCGTGATAGGGATGGCAGGTGGTTAGAGTGGTGACTTGTGGTGCGTGAGTAGGGGTGGCACGCGTGGGTGTAGATTTAGCAGACGTTTTTTATTACTTAGAAATTTTACGATAGGGTTGATTTTTATGATCGTTATCTGCGATTAATTGTCTAGCAGCACGGTTAGGTTAGGTTAGGTTAGGGATAGCAGACGTTTCTCTGTTTTTTGAAATTTTGCGATAGTGTGGTTTTTGCTATTTGTATGGGGGTGCTAGACTACCCGTTTATTCAGATCTACACCCCTTAAGTCTTCACAGACCATAGCTTGCTTTAGATTTACTTTATTGACGTTAGGCCGATAATTGTAAATTACTTATGAATAATTCCAATCAAAGTGAGGGTCAAAATTGCATCCAGAGAAAGTAACAAAATATTCGAGCCCTGTGTGCGCTTTCTACATCTCGCTAAGTAAGACAACACAATAAAACTTCTCGTTAAATTACCACAAACAAAACTGATGCGAAAATATAACTGCAACGCTTGTGGTTTTGTTTGTTCTTACGAACAAATAGCCGTGCAACTACTTCCTAATATTTACCGTTCCATATTCATTGTAAAAAACAGTCCGACTTGTACCATCTTGTCAAATATATTTTGGCAACTTATGAGCTCACTGTTAGAATCATGTAGTAATCATGCTCCCACCTTATCGCACAATAATCATGGCTCATGTATGATGTGCCCCGCAGATAATAGATATGTAGTACGTACGTACACCTCTAGATGAATAACTGCTGGCTTGTAGTTGTACGCAGATCAGGACGAAAAACAAATACACGGAGCGCGCGAGCGATTTCGACCTCCCGTCAGCTAATACAAAGCGCTCTAGGTGACCAACAATTACGAGACGCGAAAATTTTGGAAGATTACGAAGAAAAAATCGCTCCCGTGCCGCCGGCAGCGTTAGAAATTAGTTCCGACCCGGAGGCCCAGCCCACCAAGTTTTTGCTCAGCCCACCATCTCTACGAAACTCCTGGTCCTCCTGACCGGCACTTTTTCCCCTTATATTACGCTGAAATACTACGGTTAGCGGTCTGTCTGTGTGAATGAAATTGAATAAGAATGTGATTGGTTTCTTAGTCGAGTGAAATAAGATAAAAAAAATGTGATCGAATGTAATTTGTTGACGATTTCTTGACACTGATATATAGTCTGATACTGGTGCCGAATGCGCACTGAATGCTGATGAATGATATTAGAGTCAGGGCATCAAAATTATGAAAATTTGAACAAAATCATGCTATGAAAAAGTAGCTCTGGCCAAGCCTAAAATAGCTTCCGTAAAAAAAATTACGAGAGCTCTTTTTTTCATACAAAATCAAAAAAGAGCTCTCGTAAAAAAAAAGTTATTTTTAGGCTGGTACGCATTCCCCCCGGCAGGTAATAGAATATGTGTATTACATCCCACCCTATAGACAATAATCGTGGCTTGTACTTGTACCTCTGGCAGTAGGACGTTCCTAGATTATAATTAACCTTTATAGGTTATACTTCCTAATTAACCTTTTTGTTTGATGTAAAAACAGTTGCTACTTCTACATTTTGGCAATTGAATTTTGCCAACTTATGGCTCTCATTAGTATACATGTATTACGTCCCACTCTATAGACACTAATCGTGGCTTGGCCGTGTATTCCCTTCGGCAGGTGGACCTCGCGCGCGTCAAGAAACACCTCGCGCCAGACGTCGTCAACTTCAAGCACCCGTACACAGGCGACTCGCCGCTGCACTGCGCCGTCGCGGCGCCGTTCGCCAAGCGCAAGCACGTCACCGAGCTGCTGATCCGTCGCGTTGCCAACATCAACGACAAGAACAAGGAGTTCCTGACGCCGCTGCACGCAGCCGCCGACAAGAACCACTTCGACGTGATGGAGGTGCTGCTGAAGAACGGGGCCAAGGTAGCGAGCGATCGCGCAGTAGTGCATCGTTTATTGCGGGGAGTCGAGTTGGTTTTTTTTTTTAAATATCGAGCAAAAAGAACAGTGCCAAGGTAGCGTCTGATCGCGCAGTAGT